TCAGTTTGACATAAAAGTCAAATAATAGACATAGGCGATATATGTCATAGTATACAGAAATAATAGAAACAGTTAATACAGTCAATAATAGAAAATTAAGCAGTCAGATTCTATATTAAAGGTGGCTAACTTGTGAAAATATCTAAGGTCTGACTTTTGAACTTTTGGTTGCTTAAATGAAAAGGAAAAGTTTGCCTAAACAAAGATTCCTTACAGTATGAAAGAAACCAAACTCTTCATGGCTAACATAAAATGAAAAGCAAGAAATTATTAAAAGAAAGCCCCTGGAGAAAAAGGTTATTTACGACATCCCATTTGTTTTTTAAGACTGGCAAAATAAACTGAGACACACAAAACCAGGGACCCAAATTGTGGAACAGACAATTGTGTATTCCTGTTAACAAATATAAAAACATACCGCTGTTTTCTTCCTCTTTGTTGACGAGGCTGCTCCTCTTGAGGATACTTAAAAATGTCCTGAAAAATGGGTTCATATTTCTTAAAAATTACAGCAGAAACAGTGAAGTTTCTTTCTAATCTCTCAGTACGCTCTCTGAAATGTGACGGTAGATTTGCCATTTCTTCCCATTTCTTCATCTTGTTAAAGAATTCAATTAAGCTGATATTAAAAATAAAAAATGAAATATTTTCAAAATTAACACAAAGTTAAAGAACACAACTATAGATAACTGAAAGTAAATAAAAATTAACTCACTAAATTATACTACTTTTAGATAGTGATATAAAATCACAATTTATAACTCTTACAGATTGGTTTTATTTCTCTCATCTTCCTAATCAACTTTTTTTCTGAGATTACCTAAGGGTTTTTTTTTAGTTTAATTATGAAATACATAAAAATACAAAATAAATAATTAACAGAGTAATGTAACCGACATTCATGTACCCAATTACCAGTTAACAAACATTAACATATCAAATACATTTTGCCAGGCTTGCTTCATGTTCTATAGAAAAAGCCCGTTCCCATTTGTACTCCTCTCCAATACCATTCCCCATTCTTCCCCAGAGATAGTCACCATTCTAACTTTCATCTGAATCCTCCCCACCCAGGTCTTTATACTTACTACTTACTACATGGATACATAAGGCCTTTATATACTTACTACGTGGATACATAAACAGTAAGTAGTATTTTTGTATGTATGGTTTAAAATTTTTATATAAACAGTATTATACTGTAGATAGCAGTATGCAACTTGCTTTTTCATTAGATTATTTCTGGGATTAATATTGATATATCAGATCTAATTCATTCATTTTAATTAAAAATATTCTTTCATATGAATTACGATGCTTTTTTTGCATTCATTCCCCAAGCAATGAAAATTGAGGTTTCTACTTTTTTCATTATAACAAAAAAATGATGTAATGAACACATTCTTGTTCATATCATAAGAGTTTCTTTAGGAACTACCCCAAGAGGTAGAATTGCTAAATTAGAGAATGGACATCTTTAACTTTATTAGGTATTGTCAAATTTCCCACTAAAGTGGTTATATGTACTCTCTATCTCACTAATGTTCACCAGCACTACAGAGTTCCTGTTTCCCTCCAGAATGACCACACTTGCTATTATCAGACTTCAAATTCCCCCCAAACTGATAAGAATAAAATATTATCTTGCTTTTACTTTGAACTGCCTTGATCACTAGTGAGACTGAACATCTTATCTGTTTAGCTTTGTGAGTTTGGCTTTTGCAGAATCATATTTTTTACCCATTTTTTAGTAGCTATTTGTCAACTGTGTAAACATTTGTTAACAGTTCTTTGCATAATTCTGTATAGTGGGCTTCTGTCAATTACTGGCATACCTCAGAGATATTGTGGGTTTGTTTCCAGACCACCACAATAAAGTGAGTCAAATGAATATTGCAATGTAGCACAAAAAAGTGAGTCATATCAATTTTTTGTTTTCCCAGTGTATATAAAATTTAAGCTTATACTATACTGTGGTCTACAAAGTGTACAATGGTATTGTGTCTTTAAAAAGTACTTATCTTAATTTGAAAATTACATTATTGCTAAAAATGGTAACCATCATCTGAGTTTTCAGCAAGTCATAATCACTAGTCACAGATCACCACAGAAAATATAATAACATAAAAGTTTGAAATATTGAGAAAATTACTAATATATGACAGAAAGACATGAAATGAGCAAATGCTCTGGAAAAATGGAACCCACAGATTAACTTGACACAGGGTTGTTACAAACCTTCAATTCGTAAAAAATGCAGGGTCTGCAAAGTGCATTGAAACAGGGTATACCTATATATGCATTGTAAATATCTTCTCCCAATCTGCTGTTTGTTTTAAATGCTTTTAATCCATTATGGCAGAAAAGTAATAATATAACCCCATAGGTAAAAAATGTAAAGATTGAGTTTTTTGAAATGGCAACAAAACGGAAGCCTGGGATTGTGTTACTCACATTAAAATGTTAGATAAGTTTAGTTTACTATAGTTTATAATCATGAGAACAAGGAACTTGCTTCTAAAGTTCCTTGTCTGTCATGTAACTGGATTACTCTGCCTCTGCTGGTCTTCTTCATAATGATTATAACTTAGTACCTTATTTGTCCACCTCTGCAGGTTGACAGCACAGGTATTCACCTCTTTATAACCTGCCTTTTGTTCTTAGGCCTAAATATATCTCAGGATGGAGTTCAAGGTTAAGAGACTCCAGCTGAAATAATGCATTTCTTGTTAGTTACTTGAATAGCAAGTGATTTTTTTAAAGCCATTAGGTATACATAAATTTTGACAATGGTATTTCTCCCCGAAATACCAAACATCCTTTTTTTCACCAATCTTTAATAAGCCATAGGAAAATTCACCCAAAAGGCACAAATAATAAATGTAATCAATTCAAGTGCACAGCAGATAGAAAAAGCAATTTCTGCCTTTTCTTTAAAACATTATTTAACCCTTTCTATAACTGATTACAATAGTGTTACTTAACCCCAATGGGAAACTGAGAAGTATTTTCACATTCCATATATATATATGAAGATACAAGTCCTGTGCATGTAGTTCTAAAATTTCTCAGTTCCTTACTTAGAATTCTCCCAATATTACACAATGATGAGTCAGAATCTTTAATAGTAAACTCTTCATACAAGTGGCCTAATACATTAAAATTTCAATATTTTTCACCAAAGAAGTAAAATACAATGGATACTAACTTAGATGTGGTAAAGGAAAACCATGAGCTAGCTTCTTAATTCAGCAATCCATTGGTAGAAAGGCTTAGCACATGAGGAACAGAGAATTCTTACTGGCTCTATGATTTATGAGCTTTTTTATATTAGTCATACTCTACTTTTCAAACTCCAATATAATTACCTCTGTTCTGAACATCGCAGAATTCTAGTTAAAGATACATAGTTTCCTTCAACTGTCCCTTTGCTTACAGTTGGCACCGATTTTCTGCAAGCCACATATAAGGCACATGCTAACCAATGAAGATCATTTCCCTGTAAAAGAAAAGTGGTGTTAAGTGAGTGACCTATATATATTTCAATATAAAAAATTATTATGTTTAAATTGAAAGTGTAATTTATGTATCTGTGGGAAACTGTATTTGCAATGATGGCCCTTTCCTTTGTGCTCTCTTATAATGTGACATTAACATTCTTGCACTGTGAGGTAGGAGTTGGTGTTTCCTCACTTTGAACTGTCAACCAATAGCACAGGTGAAAATGACACTACGGAACTTCTAAGATCATTAAAGGCAATACAATTCCACCTGGTTCTCTCTCTCTCTCTCTCAGGACATGTGGCTTGAGAGTTCCAACATGGGAGTAGAACACCGTGGGCAAATTAATTACCATTCACAGAGACTCAATCTTCTTATTTGAAAACTGAGAATTAAATGAGCTACAAGTATAAATTATAGTACAGAAATACAAGAAATTAAAAGATAAAATGCTATAACCATTGTTCTGTGTTAAATATCACATAGCTTTGTTTTCCACTGTACACTTCCATGAGACTGACATCCCACTGTTATTTTACAGCATACCTGACTACAAGCTCCACAAAGGCAGGGATTTTTGTTTTGTTCACTGCTCTATCCCCAGCACCTACAACAGTGTCTGGCAAAGAGTAGGTGATCATAAAATATCAAAAAGTTTTGACGAGTGAATAAATATCCATTCATTTATTGGGTAAACTAAGCATCTGAGATCAAAGTCTTAAAAAAACTGAGTAATCAAACATGTTTTCAAAAATAACTTACTAAGCATCTGTTATTCATCACTTGCTTATATAACCCAGGACTTCATATGACTTGACCTCTATGAGTTGAAATACTTCAACTGAATGGTGATCATGCTTGTTCTAATTTACAAGATTATCGTGAGGGCAAAATAAGGGCTTATTTGGAGGTCCTTATGCTTATCGCTAAGAAGAATGAGTAAGAACATGGCCTATTCAGCCAGATCACTTAAGTATATAAAGGATCTTTGTAAACTCTAAAGCAGTGTCCATGAGATCTTTGTGTGTCAGAAACTACACATAGCCTAATTTTAACACTCAGAACAAGTCTGTGAGGTAGGCACAAACATCTTAAGTTTACATATCATAAAACTGAGTTTTGGAGTGGTTAAGCAAACTCTCCAAAGTCGCCTAAGTCTGCCACTATATTAGTAGCTTTTTTTCCCCTATAGATAAAACAATGGGGGAGAAGGCACTGAAAATTACATTAATGCAAGAATAAGCAAAATAGAGCCTTAGGGACGAATAGGCAAAAACACCCTATTATAGTTCAATAATACTTTGGTTAGGCCTTCCCATTCTGAGCCTATTTGCCCCACTTCTTTCCACAAATTCTAAAACATAAACCGGTTTAAATGCCACCCACACACACAGGCAGTGGAACAGCTGATAAACAATCCCGACTTCCGTGTCACTTCCCATTGGTCCATAAAGGGGAGGTGCTTACAGAGTTGAGCCTCACTGGCTGGAATGGCCATTTTTCTCAACTGCAAGCCCCGTCCGAAGAAAGGGACAAACTGCTTGAATCTCAGCGACTGTGAGTCCTGTGTAATGTCGGGGCGACCAAAAGGTCCTAAAGGTCATGGACTTCCTTTGGCAAATGGGGGTATGTGCTATATCCAGGCAGGCAGAAAGTCCAAATGAATAGTCTAACACTGCACGAAAACTTAAAAGAATTTGCTCAAACGGATGCAATGCCTGGACAAAGGCAATTTAGGACGGTAGCAAAAGAACTGAAAAAGCAGCCTAGAAACCCAGAGGCTAAATTGGGGTTAATCTCGGTGCAGACATAAACAGGTACCCTTCACTTCTCCGTACGGGCCTGACAGCTGCACCCGTTCGCCGTGCCAACAAGGTAGTTGTATTTTGTGACCGTGACCCCACCTCAGCCTCTAGGTGCTTTTTTGGGACACGAGATGTCCCCCATTCGGGACACGAAAGGGAAGAGCGGCGCGACGCGGTTCACCCTCAGGGCTGCTAACAGCTTTTCAAAAGCCAGGTTTCCAGGGCTAACGTGCGCACGGATAATTCCCAACCCTTTCAAAGCTGGGGACCCGGAGGTCGAGGCCGGAGGGCTCCTGCAGGACAGCCCGACCCGGGGTGAGGGTCCCCATTCCCGCGGCGGGCAGCCGCCACTAGGCCCGGAAAACCCCTCGTCTCCTCCCCCCGAACGCACCTCCAGCGTGTAGCTCTCGCTCATGCTCCGGTAGCTGTCCCAGGCCTCGGCCCGCGCCGCCTCATCCATGTTGAGGCGGCTGCACAGCTCGTCGAACCGCTGCTGGGTCTGAGAGGCCGGCGACTGGACCGGCTGCGCCGCGTCCTCCGCCGCGCCGTCGTCATCCTCCTCCTCATCCGAAGCTGCCGCCGCGGGAGCGGGAGGCGGGGGAGGCGGGGACTGGTCGCCTCCCGACCGCATAGCGTAACCCTGGGCCGGTCCTCAGGTGAGTCGAGGGTCGGGGCCCGCAGCCATTCAAACCGCGAAGCGCCCGGCCGTCGGCGGCCCGCAGAGACTGCGCCGCCGCCAACGAAACTAGACCTCACGTAGGCACCCGTAGTTCTGGCACAGCCTACTGGGAAATGTAGTTCCAGACGGAGGACCACGGGAGTAAAAACTTTCACAAAGTCGGCTCACGTAGTCTCCCTTGAGCTGAAATAAAAGCGGCTTTACTACATCTCAAGTACCTCCCCATCGAGAGACAGCAGGGCTCTACTGATGAGAAACTATCGAAGAAACATTGACATCTGAAGGTTTAGTGTCCGAGTTGTCCCCAGAAATAGTACTCATCACGTGGGTGTCTTTACCTAAAAAGTTAAGGGTAATAATAAAGGCCTGCCCGCCTAAGTTCAAATGTCGGCGTCGCTCCTAATTCCTAGTTGTTTCCTGTTTTAAATTGCATGTGAGCCTTTCAAATAATTATTGGATTTTTTTTTTTAAAACAGTAATTCTATTTTTCCCCAACGGATGAATTTACGTTCTCTGTGACATGTTGTACTATGCTCAGTCCCCCAATTGGCTCAATTTTTAATTTTACTCGTATTTTGCGGTCTATTTTCATGTATATACTTGACTAGAATCATTTTATTTCCAGTCCTCTTTGTTTTATAAATGGGTATGGTATAAAACATTTTCATGTTTAAGGAGATGTGACACATTGCTTTTTTGCTATGGGGTCAGCTCTCTCTCCATTGTTCCTTTGAACCCAGCCATCATACTGTGAGGAAACCCAGATCACATGAAGAAGCTCATTGTCAAAGATAAAGCTGGACATTAGTTCAAGGGGTGAAAACATTTTATTCACGTATTACTGTCAGTAAAGGAAAGAGCTGAGCTCTATTCCAATTTGTGCAATCCAAAGGGAGAGTAAAGGACTACAGATGGGGAGAGAGCTGAGCTCAAGCAAAATATGACCAAAGGCTGGTGAGTGTGACTGTGAGTGGACCAGCTATGTCTGGTGATTTATCAAAGGTGTTCTATCCTCCCACTAAAGCTGGGAGATGGAGGCCCTATCCTTCCTGCTAGTTACATTTCAAAGGAATGGCTTTCAGGCTTGAGAAATACACTCCTGATTTGTAGGGGATACATGTACAAAGGAAAGAGTCACAATTGTAAGCCCTTTTTAGTAAATGCTGTATGGGAGGTCTGGAACCTGTCATCAGGTATGGGCTAGAACAAACACTAAATTCTGGCAGCATTCAACTTTCTCAGGCATTTTAAATGGGTGGTGGGGGTGGGGGTTGGCTGGAGTCACCCTAGGGCACAGACTTATGCTGCTAGAAACCATGCTAGAGTTTGGTCATCTCTTACTGCAGAGGTTTGGGCCAGAGTTCTTCAGTTCTCACCATATGTGAAGGGCCCCCACCCATAAGATGGCGAACCTCCTGCTTCTCTTCCCGGTCTTCGGTTCCCGCCAGCGCCACCCGAGGCCCAATCACCTCTCGCCCCCCCCCCATCCGAGTACCTGGCCAATAGCCACCAGTCCCGTTGAAGTGGCACCTCAATCAGCTTATGTCCCTCCCTATATAACCTAGTACTTTTCCCCAATAAAGTGGAACTCACCAGTGAATTGCTGCAGTGTGTCGCTCCTTCCTTTCAATATGCACAGGACCTAAGGCCCCTGCCCCTCAGCCCTAGCCATGAGGAATTATCCAGTTTAGTAACAGATCTTGCAGCCTTCAGTCAAGCTGTCCAGCTAATACTGTATAGAGCAGAGGTGAACATTCCCACTGATCTCTGCGCAAGTGCAGATTTGTAAGCAAAATAAATTATTAGTATTGTTTCAAGTCACAGAGTTTTAGAATGGCTTGTTATGCAACAATATTCAAGCACCTATGAAGTGTTAATATCTATATCAATTATCATGAAAGAAAAAAAAATCACCTAATAATTGAATTTTTTTCTTGGTAATATTTTATGCCTCCACTAGCCTCACCTATAGAATACAAAATTTTTAACCTTAAAAAGCTAAAATTACTTAATAATCAACATTCACCATTCCTTAAAAAAATTAAAAAGGTTTTAAGTCAGAGCCACTTTGGATGATGGGAATTGACTTGCACATGAGCTTAGCTCTGGGAGTAAAGGGTTTCCCCGCCTGGGGTACGTTCTCTGAACTCGATGAAACTGGTGAAAGACAAGGGAAAGGGCAGGTCGGGAGGAACGGTTTTATTGCTCACAACTCATCTGTCCCTCAGCTCCACTAGCCAGCCCCCTGCTCTGTCTCTGCTGCCACAGCGCGTGCTCGCTTTCCCCACCCACCCCTTTCAGGAAAGAACTCCCTAGGCTGGTCCCTGGTGACTGGCGGGCACCAGACCAATTAAGTACCAAGAACAGAGGGGAAAAGAAAATGGCTGTTTTCTCTCCATTGCCCCTGCCTGTGGCTGTGCCCTGGCACATTGATAGGCAAATCGGCCAGGGCCAGGCCGGAAATTCCTGGTGAAAACTTCCATTTACCCCATAATGATCAAGTTGTTAAGGAAAGAGTTGAAATCAGTTTCCTAGGTTATGCTTACTAACATTTATTTCCCATATCTTCCTAGATGTTGGAGTGGTTGTCTTAAAACACAAATCTGATCACCTCTTTCCTCTGCCTAAATGGCTTCCTGCTGCTCTTAGCCTCTTTCAGCTTCAGCCTCTGCATTCTCATTAAAAATTGCTTCCCCCGCACTTCCCCCTACCTATTGGGTCACTATTTTCCATCAATCAAGTACCAGTAAGTGTCAGTTTCTCAGATCTCCCTGTTGAATATTCTCGGGACAGTTATTATAATCATGATGAATTATTTACGTTTGATTACATTTCACATCTCTTGTCCTCATTATGCTTTAAGTGCTATTGAGAATACTAAGTATGTCTGTTTAGTTCTATTCTGTGACCTCAGAGCCTAAAACGATACTGGCATCTGGTTGACTCACCATAATATTTATTGAATGAACCATTGATGAGGATAATTGAGGTATGTCTTATTCTTACTGGAGCCTCAGATTTTATGTATGTAAAATCATTACCGGTGTTGTGATCTGATAGCCCAACAAAATGTCAAAGACCATAAATGGCAGCCATCTACCTTCACATTATATATATCGCCTTAAACCAAATGACTTAACTGTGAAACTTCACATAAACTTTGTGTATGACAAACCACAGTGTTCTTCAAACTTTTTGGTCTTGGCCCCCTAAAATAATTACCAGCTAGCTTATTTTAAACTTGACATCTAAAATTTGTCATTAAAAGTTTGATCAGGTGCAAAGGATGTACCTTCCAGCATGTAACTTTAAATCTTTTAAAATAAAACTGTTGCCAAACTTTAAATATATCCAATGGACTCTAAATATCATAGCAATTTGATATTCACTATCATCATTTTAAAAATACATGAACAAAATTTTCTTCAGCTATTAAAAATATAACATTCCTTTTTCTCCTTGACCTCATTTTCCCATTCTATTATCCCGACAAAATGTTATCCTAATATGTTTTGTGCTTCAAAGTCCTTTATTGATCTTTCATATTTCCTTTGAGCAAAAAATGTATATATAAATTAATTTTGCATGTATCCTTCTGTTTATTCTTTTATGTCAGATTCATTGAGGTATAATTTGCATGAAGTAAAATTCACTCTTTTAACTGTACAGTTCTATGAATTTTGACAAATACATAGTCACATTCACCATGATCAAGACATAGAACGTTTCTATCACCCTAAAGGTTTCTAGGTGTCCCTTTGTAGTAAGTCCCTCCTTTCATAGCCCCTGATCAGCCCCTGAAACTGATCAGTCTTCTATCCCCATGGTTTTGCCTGTTTTCAAAAATGCCACATCAGTGAATCATACAATATGTAGCTTTTGAGGCTGGCTCCTTTCCACTTAGCAAAATGCCTTTCCCATTCATCTAAGTTGTTGCATGTGTCAGTTTGTTCATTTTTATTGAAAACTAGTTTTCTCTTGTATGACTCTTCCAACATTTATCTATCCATTCACCAGTTGAAGACATCTTGGTTGTTTCCACTTTTTGTCAATTATGAGAAAAGCTACTGTAACATTTATGTGTGGGTTTGCACGACACAGTTTTCATTATTCTTGGGTAAATACCTAGGAGTGTGCTATGGGTCTGAGCTTTGTGTCCCGCCAAAATTTATATATTAAAGCCCTAACCTCCAATGTGAGTATATTCCAGGGGGACTTTGAGTAGGTAAGTAAGGTTAAATGAGGTCATAAGTGCAGGCCTCTAATCCAATGACATTGGTGGCCTACTAAGAAGGGCACATGCACACACTGAGGAAAGACCAGGTGAACACACATCGAGAAGCTGCCCAAGCAGACGAAGACAGAGTGGTATCGCAAGGTTGTATGGTTAAATATGAAACTTAAGAAACTGCCACATTTTTTTCTAAAGTGGATCCTACCCACATTTAAATTAACATTGATTTCCTTTGATCATAAAGCTCTAAGTATTAAATTTCTTTCGGATTGAGTGATCAGATGGCTGTTATTGAGATTGTGGCTTCCACTGTGTTTGCAGTTTGTGTATGTGTCTCCCACAAAAAATCAATAAAAAGTGTGTTGCAGCCAGTAAAACTCTTGAATTTCCACTCGAGGATGTCAACTACTCAGGCAGTGCTGGTGAGGCTATGGAGAAAATGGAACTCTTGGGCACGGTTGGTGGGAGTGTAAACCAGGGCAGCCACTATGGAGAGCAGTAGGAAGATCCCTCAAAAATTAAAAATATAACTCTCATACTGATGCCGGGGTTCTCGTTTGCAGAGTTGAAGAATGAACTTAGCAAACAGTCAAGGTAGGAGAGCCAGGGAGACTTTTATTGAGAGATACACTGAGAGGACAGACAGAGCTCAAGAGGGGATTTGGAAAGAATATAACCTTATGCAGTGGCTGTGGGGGGGCAGGCAGGGGGGCCGTGGACAGCAATTCATGATAGAGAAATGAAAGAGTGAGAGAAATAGGCTACTTAAGAGAAGTGGCGTGTCAGGCAGAAGTCCCAGGTCTGTTAGCTATGTCTGATGATGCAGAGAATCCACTTGTAAAAGATAAAGAAGGTATTTGATTTGAAAATTAGTTGATTGGAGGACAGCATGGTACAACAGATGTGAGCACTTTCTGTAGTCAACAGATTGAGGAGTGAACAGCAAATGAGGAGGTGAAAATAGGGCTGCTGACTACCGTGCAAGAATTCAAGAGGTGAAAGGAGAGAGAGCAGGCAGGCAGGTAGTGGAGGTGAAGGACGCTGGGTGAAACGAGTTTTTTTTAGGCAACTTGCCTGTTTGTAGCATGAGGAAGGCCCCAGCATTGAGGGGAGGCCTGAAGATTTGGGGGATTAGTGGAGATGGGTAGGGCCAGGTCTTGGAGGGGACAGGGTGAGGTGGTGGGACCTGCTGTCCTCTAGCGTAGGGTGAGGAGGAGAGGGAGAGGGTGATGGGAGCAGGGGAAGCTGAGGGGCTTTGCCTGAGAGACTTGGTCGACAAGGTGTAGGAATCCCGTGTTCTGTTGGAAATGAGGGTGGCAGGTGTGGGACAGGGACCTGAGGAAAGAAAGCCAAGACGTTTTGGTCCTGTTCCTCTGGGGGATGAGCACTGGGAGGTTTGCCTGGCAGCCAGGTGTGCAGGGTTGCCGGTTTGCAGCTTTATGGGAGGGAGAACCGAGAAGCCTGGCAGGGAGATGTCGGCGGCTGGGATTGCCATGATGGTATATATGCTAGGGCAGGGCCCGGGGCATCTGTACGGTAGGGCTGGCAAGGTGAAATGGGAGGGAGGGAATACATGTTGTCTAGAGGTGAGAGTCAGAAAAGAAGGTTCTAGAGTTCAGAATTACAGAGGCCTTAGTGGTTTGTCAGAGTGAAGCCGACGATGTGCAAGAAACGTGTACTGGGCTGTTAGCGCACATCCACAAGGCATTGGGGCTGCCAGACGTGCCCAGGGCAGGGAGGAGCCTGTTCCCTGGGCCAGTTCCCGGGGAATGCGGTAGTGTGCTGGGCATTATTGCTAGTCACTCATCCCTGAGCCCACGCTCAGGCCCCCAGGTAGCCAACCATGGGTCAGGTGTAGCGTTTCCTTTTCAGCACCCTCCTTGCCCTCCAGACAGTCCTCTTGGATTTGGAAGGGGGTTGGGAGGAGGGACTGTGAAGAATCTAGGACTCAGAGCCTGTGGACTGGGGGCCAAAAAGCCCCAGTTCCAGAGAACTTAGACAGCTGTGAACCTTTCATTGCTTGTGATGCCCCCAGTCCTGCTCCTAGGATGATGACAGAGAGGGACATGCTAGCTCTCTTCATTCCACTTAGTCCACATTTACCAACAGGGTCCTTCGGGATGACTCAGACTCAAGGATGAAGCCCCCTGCTTCTTTCCTGCTGTCCAACTCCCTCTGTGCATCTGCACCCTCCCCGCATTTGCTGCAGGGCCCTGGGTCTGTGGTGTCACTCTCCTCTCTCCCTAGGCATCGCACCTTGTCTCCGTCCGTTATTTGCTTACTCTGATGGCCCTCCATGGCCCTTCTCTCCCTAATGTTGTGTTCATTGAAAGTAAGAGTTGTTCTTTACTTTTAATTGAGTGCTAGCCCTTTATGTTTAGATTCACTTATGT